AACTGAGGTACAAAGAGGTTAAATAACTTGCTCTAGTTGCACAGCTAGTAAGTTAGCAGAGTTAAGATAGCAAAGGAAAATGGCAAAATATATGAGAAAAGGCACTAAAAATTGTAGGGTTATTGGGGTCTCGCCATGGCTAAAAGTAATATGACCTAAATTTTGTCACCACTTCTCACTCAAGAGCACACTTTCAAAGAAGGCCTCTTCAGTGAGTGCCTCAGGACATGCCTGGATGTCAAAGGCGTTCACTAGTATATCTGGTTCCTGCCTGAATCCCTGCTCCCACAGCTATGGCATTTACACGGCTTCCATCCTGACTCACTGCAGTAGAGCGTGAAGATGAAAACGCTGTCAGAAGACTTCTCCACAGTCACCACTTTTACAAACTTTCCCTTTAGTCCTCATCTTACTGGAACTTTCAAGATCATTCCAGAGTAAACCCCCTCTTACTCTTCAACACTCTGCTTTTGCTTTTCTCACGTCCCCTCCTAGTTTCCCTCCTACTTCTCTGACTGTTCCTTTTCAACCTCCTTTGCCAGTTACTTCTCCTCTATGTGGCCTTTATATATCAGGGCTCATCAAGGTTCTCTCCTGGCACCTCTGTCTCTCTACCCTCCCCTCAGCTATTTTATCTACTGCCATGGCTGAAAATATCTATATGATGATAACTCGCAAGTTTATCTCTATCCTGGTCCCTTCTCTGAGCTCCAGATTTGTACATATCAATATTATTGACATTTCAGAGTTAGCACATTCAAAACAGAACTCCTGATCTACCCCTAAAACTGCTTTTCCTCTCAGTCTTTTCCATCTCAGTAATTGAGAACAACCAGCTACCAGTTCGTTGTTTATACCAGAAACACAGGAGTTGGCCTTGACTTACATCCAGCTCTTTGAGACCTGTATATTCTTTTTCCAGAATGATGTCAATTCCATCTACTTCTCTCCATTGATCTAGTCCAGGTCAACTCCACCTCCTGCCCAGACAACTATAATAGCTCCTTAACTGATTCAGCGTTTTAAAGTGTAGATGGCATCATCCTTCTGAAAACTTTTCAATGGCTGGCCACCTTGCTTCAAATCAGAGCCAAGATTCTTGGCTGGTTTCAGCTTCCTTCACTTTTCACCCTGCCTACCACATTTTCATCACACTGGCTTCTTTTGGTTCCTTGATCATAGTAAACTCTTACCCTGCTTCAAAAAGCTCTACTCATAGTAGAGCTTCTTCCCTTATCATTCAGTTAACTCATCTTCTGGGGTCTCGGCTTAAATAACATCTCCTAAGACTCCCCAGTCTTTCAGGTCTCCTCTGTTACATTCTCTTAATGCATTCAGTGCTTTTCCTCTTAGTAGTTACTATGTAATTATTTAACTAATTATCTTTTCCAACTGAATGTAAGCTCCTGGAGGGTCATGCATTTTATTCACCAATGTATCTAACTGACAGAGGTCTGACCTTAAATTTAAGACATTTCAAAGTGGAAACTTTCCTAAGGCTTCCTTGCTGAGTGTGTTTTCAGTGTCTGGTATGCTGGGATTTCTCTTTCACAACTGTGACCTGAGTCCTGAGAGATAACCAGTAGAGACAGCTTAGGCACCAAACTGTCTGTCTTTTTTCGCTCGTGACAGGGTCTAAAACACTAGCTGCCCCAGAGAGCACCTACTAGCTGGGAGGGGCAGGAACCTTACTGTGACCAAGGTGGGAAGAGGCCCTGCGTGGCTGAGGTTGTTAGGGTAAAGCTGGGGTTTCCCAAGTGAGGAGACAGGACACTTACACAGAATGAAAATGCAAGGTTGCAAATCCTGCTGGAGGGAGCTGGAAAGGAGAACTGTGTGACGAATGGTGTGAGGAGATGGGGGTGGGGGAGAAGTTCAGAAAAGGCAGTACTGGTGTGGCTTTGTAATTTGCGGCTTAGCTTCTGCTTTGAAGCATCTGCTGTGACCAGATGGTGTGCAGTGATCTCTCTGGCCAGCTGAGCCAAAGAAGGAGTAAAACCTGCCCAGTTTTTGTAAGCTATAGGCTGGGTCTCTGGTGAAAAAATTGTCCTGCAGCAAATTAGCAATCTTTCTCATAATTTCTCTCTCTCTCTCTCTCTCTCTCTCTCTCTCTCTCTCTCTCTNCTTCTGGACAGCCGCTCACTGCGGCTGCTGGCCACTCACGCTGGCTGCTGGCTACACACGGTAGCCCATGGCAATCCACTGCAGCAGGGGCTGCAGCCTACACCATCACCGGCGACTCAAGGCTGCCCAGCTCCAGGTTGAGCTGTTGTTCAGCATCTTAGCTGTAGAGGGGCAGTGTCACTGGCCCTCATATGTGGGATCCAAACCAGGGTCCTCTGGTGTCCCAAGCCAGCTAGCTCTTAACCAACGCACCACTCGGCTGGCCCCCCAAAAAAACTCTTTTCTGAATTTGAATTTGCTATAGGCATAAAGGATAAATAGGTCCCCAATGAGTTTGTAGTCCTATTTTTATTATAGTATTTTAGGAGGGATGTTTTTATTTTGTGTTGTTTTAAGTTTTTGTTCTCAAATGTCCTTAAAAGAAATTTAAGTAAAATAAATAGGAAAATTAAAGTTATCTATGCTTAAATGCTTTACACAGTGAAGTTTGTATAAGTCTCATTAATCATTCTAGCTCAGCAAAGGTGAGGGGGGAAAGATGCATGCCTGACTAAGGATGTTTCTATAACACCCTCTTCAAGAAACAGGATTTTATATTCTTTACTCTATTGGTGATAACTTGACGGCCAAGGATCTCAGAATGTGTTGATCTACCAGCTCCTTTGCCAGTCCTCAGCACCTTCTGCTAACAGACAGGAATGCAGTTTCTTTATCTTTCCCAGGGCTGTGTTAGAAGACATCCATTTTGGCACTGCCAGCTGCCACTTTATCCTCCTTTTGTCTTCCAGTTTTAACCATCACATTTCAGAGTAATTCTGTAGGAAACTCTCAGTAATCTTCAGTATAAGTTTAGGTAATTTACTAAAGATATATATAACTTTTGTTGACAAAATGTGAACCTACTTTTATTATAAGTTGCACATTTGTTAATGTTTTTGATAACTTTATCAGTAAAACCTTTTTCTCTTCAGATATGAATATCACTGGGCAGATGGTACTAATATTAAAAAGCCAATCAAATGTTCTGCACCAAAATACATTGACTATTTGATGACTTGGGTTCAGGATCAACTTGATGATGAAACTCTTTTTCCTTCTAAGATTGGTGAGTTAAGGTTGTAGAACTGTTTTTCTTTTTAAATAATAAATGTGTTCTTTTTTTTTTTAAATGAATTTTATTTTACATGTNCCAGTGAAGCAATGTCCTCCACAACTAGACTGAAGAACAAAACGACAGCAGCTTGTCTGTTCCCCTTCCCCCAATTCCCCAGCACTGTTCCCTTCCCCCCAATAAAAATCTTTAAAAAAAAAAAAAAAGATAGACAATAGCAAATGTTATTGAGGATGTGGAAACATTAAAACTGATTTGGAAAACAGTCTGACAGTGCCTCAAAAAGTTAAACATGTAGTTACCGTATGACTGTGGGGGAAGAAGCAATAATTTTCCTCCTACCTTTCTAAGTTCTTTTGGGAGGACTAATAATCAAATTAACACGAGACAGAGTAACAGGAGAAAATGACCAAATTTATTATGTATGTATATATATGGGGTTTCCCTAAGAATATAAGACCAAAATACAGATGAGCAGTTAAGGCTTATATACCATCTTGAGCTAAGGAGAAAAGGGGATTATAGTTTGGGACTTCAAAGGACAAGAAGACAATTCAAATGGAAATGGAAAAGCAAATGTTTGGTAAACTAATATTTCCTGGGCCATTTTTAACAATGGGATACAAAGGAAACTTTGATCAAAGGGCCTTGCTAGGTTCCTCCCTGTCTGTCACACTTAGTTTATATTAAACTGTAGTTACGTATGATAATACGTAGTTCCCTTTTGGGAGCAGGTTATCTAAATTCTTTTAGGCAGTTAGGGGGAAAGTTAAAGGTTCTCTCAGAGTCTTTTGTTTCTTGAAAATAACCAGCTTAAAATAATCATTATCCCAAAAGGCATATTTTCGGGTGGCAAACTCTGCTTCTCCTCATGACTAACCAGTACAGAAATGTTCATAGCAGCATTATTCATAAAAGCGGAAAAATGTAAACAACAGAAATGTCCATCAACAGATGAATGGATAAAATAAGGTATATTCATACAATGGAATATAACTCAGCCATGAAGAGGCATGAAGTACTGATACACGCTACAATACAACATGGGTGAATCTTGAAATCATCAAGAGAAATAAGCCAGTCACAAAAGACCATATACAGTATTGTATGGTTCCATTTATATGAAACGTCCAAAGTAGGCAAATACATATAAAAAGGTAGACCAGTTGTTGCCAGGGGTTGGGAGGAGGGAGGAATAGTGAATAACTGCTAATGGGTACTGGTTTCTTTTGGGGGTGATCAAAATATGCTAGAATTAAATCGTGGTGATGGTTGCACAACTCTGTGAATATACTAAAAAACAAAACACTGGATGGAGCATACATTTTATGCTATTTTATTTTTTTAAGAATTTTTTAATTCAGGAATTGGGGTAAGGGAACAGCATTGGGGAATTGGGGAAGGGGAACACACAAGTTGCTGTCCTTTTGTTCTTCAGTCTAGTTGTGAAGGATGTTGCTTCATGGGCCCATGTTGGTATTGTGATCATTGCTCTCTTCCTGGCTGAGGCAGATCTGTCGCCGGCCATTGGACAGCCGCTCACAGCGGCTCCCGGCAGCTTATGGTAGCTTACAGCAACCCACTGTAGCCCCACTGCAGCCCTCAGCAATCGCTGGGGACTCAAGGCAGCCCAGCTCCAGGTGGAGCTGTTGTTCACCATCTTAGCTACAGAGGGCGCAGTGTCACTGGCCCATGTGGGATCCGGAGAGGCAGCTCTGCTGCTCAGAGCTCGTGCTCCCAAGCCAACTCTTAACCAGCGAGCCACTCGGCTGGCCCAAGGAGCACACATTTTTAAAGGGTGACTTTTATGCTATATGAAATACATATCAATTTAAAAGTCAAATTACATTTTTAAAAATTGCAGCATTCTTAGAGGACCCATGCTATCCAGGGAATGCAACCCAACAGCAACAAATACAAGGCCAGCCACTCCCCCTCACAACCTCTACCCCGCATCCACCCAGACCCACACCCACACCCCCACTACGACTGTCCCAGGGCCGCAATCCCACCATTCCTCCCGGAGAAGTAAGGCCCGGGTTAACGACTGTGACTGGGAGAGCTGATGACTGGATGAAGCTGTGAAAGAGGGCGGGGTGAAAAGGGGCGGTCCAGTCCCCGACGGCGAGGGGCGGGGCAGAGGGAAGCCTTCTCTCGCGAGATTTTGCTGGTTCCGCATTTAAGCTCTCTTAGGTGGGGGAGGCGGGCGAGGTGGGCGCAGCAGCTTGCACCGGCTTATATCAGCTCGACCCCGGCTCGGAGCAGCAGCGGCCAGTCCTTCTGCTGTCGGCGGGCTGAGGACTGTGGGCTCCCTCTCGGTTTCCGCGCCGGCTCCGAATCCTGACCGCGGCGGGGGCCAGCGCCCCCTCCCATCCCCTCCGAGGATAGAAGATGAGCTTCCTCTTGTGAGTGCGGCCGGGTTGAGGGGTCCAGAACTGAGGGCCGAGGTCCGGGAGGCGGAGAGCCGGGTTTGCGGCGACGGCCGGCACGGCGTGGCCGGCGCTTCCTTTGCCCCGGGGCTCGGGGCCGCTGGGCAGGCTAGGACGTGGGCCGATGCAGACGGTCGAGGCAAAGGAAGTGGAGCGAGAAGGCTGGGGAGTAGAGAGGCCCCATAGCCGGTAGCGCCTCCAAACTTTTCCGCCCCAATGCCCCTGAGGTCGGAAGGATGATCTGGGGGCGGAGCCCCAGGCCCGGCGGTAGGCTCCCAATTTCTCTAGTCTGGAGTCTTTTCTAGTGGCGATCCATTGCTGACTTAGCTTTTTACTCCACCGGTTGTCCAGCTTTATTAACATTAAATTAATGCAGCGGAAAAATGCTGCCCCAGGAAAACGCGAAGTGCTGCAGTTTGAGAAGCATTGCTCTAGCACAGTGGGTCTCAACCTTCCTAATNCTCTCTCTCTCTCTCCACAAACCCCCCATCTTTATTGATATGCTGGTCAAATATTGACCTAGGATTATTTCCCAAATACCTGCAGCTCCCTTCCACCTCTCCAAATCTAGCTATCCTGAAAGATTTTCTTAGTACATAGCTGGCTTTTCATATCCTCAGTGACTCTACAACTTGAAGAACAATACCATTAAAAGGGGAAGAAACTTTCATGAACTCCTTTCTCCCTATGAAGTCTAGAAATATTTTGTATGATAATTATATTATTTAAATAATATAAATGATTATAAAAGTATAATCAATAAATGTCTTTATGTTTATAGCTTTTATACAACTATCAAATCACACAGGTAAAAATGAAACCCCAATAAAACTACAAAAGTTAAAATCAAAATAATATCGTTAATGTGACAGATGATTTTTCAGATGAAATAAAATCATCTGCAACATGAATATGGTACTGATAGGTACAGGGCAAGTTCTTTTGTGCTGGGCATCCTGCATCACCATTTGCTGAGCTGTGACTTGATTCTCCCACAGTTTTCCTTTTCTTGCTTTCTTCATTCCACCAAGGTGTCATGTGGCTGTCACTTGGTGCTACTGCATCATTTTCGTATTGTATGCTTCTGTTAATGTTTCATTAGATCATAGCAATTTGGTCCTTTGGTACCAACAAGAGCGAGCACAAGTGGACCCATGGTACTGAAACTGTGTTTAGAATGAGAAAGTACTCTCTGGGCAAACAGATGCAACTATTATACTTCCCAAGCCACACAAAACTTCTGAAATTCAGGGATTGCATCAGTTAAAAAATTGGTCTAAAATAATATTTAGGCAAATATCCAATTGCATTTATTTAGCAAATATTAGCTGAGTATCTACTCTGATATAAGGCCCACAATAGGCACATGTTAAATACATGATAAACGTCAGGGATTTGCTTTCCGGAAGCTGGTCATCTAATAGAGGTGATAAATGTCAAAATTTCTTCCTATTGAAGAATAGCAAATATTGATTGAGTATATATATGTTCCAAGAACTGTCTAAGTGAATTCTATATCTTAACTCATTGAATCCTCAGAACCCATGAGATTGCCCTCTGTTTTACAGATGAGAAAAATGAGGCAAAATGTTATAAAAAGAATCAAGTTCATATGGTTATTAGATAGCACTGGCAGGGTTCAAACCCAGACTTTCACCTCCAAAATATGAGCTTTTTAGTCACTATTCTATCTTGCTTCTCTTAAAAAAAGTTAAAAATAATATAAGTATTTGTTTATTAGAGAAAAAATTGAATTTTCAGAAAAGTAAGAGAACAAATTCCTACTCCCTAATACAACAGCTGTTTAATATGTAAACACTACTTTTTAAAGACTTGAATTATGATTATATATTGTAAGAAGAATATAAATGGCTATAGAGGCAGAAAAGGGGATTTCTGGCTGGATCTTAAAGGACAGGGTATGATGAGGATGTGAGGCATTCCAGGCAGAAAGAATTTCAAGAACAGGAGAATGGACTCAAGGAGTTCCAGGGCTTATTGTGGAAATAGGAAGGAGTTGTTTGGTTGGAGCACTGCCTTGAGTAATGAAGCTATCAAACCAGCAAAATAAAGGCCAAGTCAAAAAGAGCACTGAATCACTTCGCCTTTCATCTTCTCAGCACTGGTAATGCTGCACTGATTACGACTTACTTCTGGATCCATCTCCTCAGACTGGGATTTCCAGTTTATATGCCTATTCATTCAATGAGTAGTTTCTGTGTGCCAGGCACTATGGTGAGCATTGGGGATGACAAATGAACAATCTATATCTCTGCCTCCAAAGAATTCTCAATCTAGTGGGAAAGAAAATGTAAGACAGTTCTGATGGAAATATGAACAGTGTGGGTTTCTGTCACTTGCCACCAAAAGCACCTAAAGTAGACTATTACCAACAAACCTGGACATGGTCTCCCCTTCTCTGTGCACCCACTCCCACCATATACAAACCAGATCATAGGGAGAAAACAAAAGAGGTTCTTAAAATATAAAATCACTGCTATCAAATGAGGAGCCTGGTAGGATGACCAGATAAAACTAAGTGGCAAGTAAGACAATGACTGAAAAATGCCATTGCGATTTAGAAACTAAGACACTGGAGAGCTTGGTGAGAGAAGATTTTGTGGGAGGTTGGGCAGGGCGCAGAATCTGGACTGATGGGTGTTGAATAAAGGGATGGTGATGTCATGGAGACAGTGAATAAAGACTGTCATTGTATAAGAAACCCTTTCTGAGTTGTTGGATGGTCCTTTGGGAGGCCCGAGGTAACTTTAAAGTAAGATAAATTTGTTTCAAATGGCCAATAAACACATGAAAAGATTCTCAAAATCAACCAACGGGAGAAATGCAAATTGTAATTACAATGAGATACCACTTCACACTCACTAGGATGGCTCTAATAAAAAAGATAGACAGGGCCGGCCGAGTGGCGCAATGGTTAAGAACTGGCTTGGGATGCCAGAGGGCCCCGGTTCCGATCCCACATATGAGGGCCAGTGACGCTGCCCTCCACAGCTAGGATGCTGAACAACAACTCAACCTGGAGCTGGGCTGCCGGGAGTTGCCGGCGACGGCGGCGTAGGCTGCAGCCCCTGTGGCAATGGGTTGCCATGGGCTACCATATGTAGCCAGCAGCCGCAGTGAGCGGCCGTCCAGAAGCCGGTGACTGATCTGCCTTGCCCGGGAAGAGCGCAATGATGGTGCCAACTTGGGCCAGTGAAGCAATGTCCTCCACAACTAGACTGAAGAA